TGCCCACTTTTGAATAGGTTTTCTAGTCTAAGGGGTCCTGCTATTCTTGGCTCTCAGCCCACCAGCTCATGTCAACAGAGATGTTACAGGTCTATGTCAGCAAAGTATAGATACAACTTATGCAAAGGAACTAAGGGTTTACATACATTGTTATGATAGGATAATAACTTGATAATATGTTACTCATTCTAACTTCTGCCACATATAGCTTCATACAAGTATTTAACATATATAATCAGTGCTTTACATATTCAGTTATTCTACACAATCAGCCATTCAGTAGCCTTCTCCTAGTGTTGCTTCTGTGCAGACATACTCATCATACACAGTATTTTTAACACATGCTGGCATGTTTGCTGCAAACACTACATACATTTTGAGAAGAGAAAATTAACTGCTTTACACTTAGAAAATACTACACACTGAGAGAATAGAAATCTTCTTTAATCCCTTCTCTTAAGACTTTAGTCTTAATATTATTGTTTTTTAACCCAAAGTGCAATTTCATAATCCAGTTCTCTTAATTACCTCTATCTAGTGACTGATATAAGCCACATAGCTGTTATCAATTGACTAGATTATGCCACTGTACTTTGACAGAAGTCCAGCCAAACATCTCCCCTCTCTTTTGATTTGAAGGAAGTAAAAGACTGTACTCTGTTTTTCTCTTAACACATCAAAGACAACAATGTTTTAAGCATAAGTATTCAGTTGGTTCAGTGCTAGCTGCTAGTTTTCACACTCATGTAAAATATACTGAAGTGATATTATATATAGGTACCATAAAAGCAATATGCAAACAAATTCAATATGCAAACATAAAAAGCATCAAATGTTGATCTTGATCTTTGGTCATCCTTGTTTCTCTTCTTCTAAGCTATCATCATCTTCACTTGACTTTAATAGATGTTAATGGAGATGTGTGGTTAAGAGTCTGAGTTTTAAAATCTGCAGTTGTGCATTCATCATCCCTTGACTTGTGGCACTGCTGTATGTGGTATTCAGGCATATTATCAGAATCACTCTTTACTTTGTTCTGATTAACTTCTCCTTCCACACGTTGCACTTAGTAGTTTAGAGCTTTTGAATATTCAGGCTCCTCTGTTTCCGGTCAGCTTTCCCTTGCTGGAGTTGTTTCCTTTCGCTCCTTTGAGGCATTGGTACCCCATTAATGGCATCCACTTTGGCAGCTGTTGGATTTGCCCTAATCCAGATATGGTCCTTTCCTCCTGAGCTCTCTCCTTTTTCCAGAACATCTACAGATAGACTCGATCAGCTGGACTATTTGGACCTTGTATCTCTGCTCTCTCACATGGCTCCTTTCTGGTTTCCTGCACAGATATCGCTTTGCACATGGCAATTAATTGTTTCTTCATAAAAGTCCCTACTGCATTAGACATCTTTGCAAAACATTCCAAGAGGTTATGTGCAAGGTTATAAGTGAGATTATATGCAAGGTTTTATGCAAAGTTTCATATGGTTTCTTGCAAGGGTTGACCCAATAGCAGTTCATGCGATGCAGTGTTAGATGCCTGTTTCTGTCAGTTTCCATGCCATCATTCACCAATGCACTTGTTAACACATTAATCCCATTAAGTTTATTATTTTCATCAAGCGTTGGCCTTGATGGATCATCTTCATCTCTTTCAGCTATTTCTGGTAATTGAGCATAATACAATTACTCTCTCTTTTGCTTTATTCATACTTTTTCATACTCCTTTAGATGTTTTTATTTATTGATCACTTATTAACTTTGATTTTAATTACTTTATGAATGCAAACCTTTTATAAACTTATTTCTGCTGATGTTTCAAATCCTTGGAAGTACTTCTTTCGTCACAAATGAATAACTGTCCCTGCTTCATAATTTGCTTCTGCTACCATCTCCAATCATCTACTCATCATAGTTTCTCAACTGTGCTTGTTTACAGAATAATTCTCTATCCAGTCAACACCAAAAACAGTCATCATCTCACTGTTTGGAGCAATGGTCTCCACTCAAGTCTTTTAATTGAACTAGATCTTTGTGAAGTTGCAGATAATTCAATCACCCACATATTGTGACAGTGTCCATCCTAAGATCTTCTCCCTAATTTTAACCCTTTATGCATTCTGGTGTATACAATATATGATAGTCATCAGCCTACACAAGTACAAACAAGTTTCTACCCTCCTCTGGTAGTTACCTAAAATAAACTCAATAGAAACTCAATACTTGAAATATTTACCATCCAAAAAAACAAATCTTCAAATACAATATGAACTTCAGCTGGAAAATCTTCTCCTATTGATTACTCTTAAATCATATTATCAACATTAAGCCTCTTATTTCAATCTTCTCTTTAACTATAAATAATTTTTCTAGATTTGAATCTCTTTCCAGTTTTCAATATCCAATCTTGATTTAGGCCATTCACAATAAGATTATGCTAAGATATTTCTTTTACTTAGTTTTAACTTAAATACTTAATTCCATTCTTATTTATTCTCCAAATTATTTATTGCCTTATCAAAAGCTTTTTCTTTTTCTTTAGTTAGTCTGCTGCATTGTAATTTATCATTCTATGTTTAAGGACTTTTATGACTAAACCTATTAAAACTTAAACCTAAATTATTTAACATTCATCATAATATATCATTCAATATTTAAAGTTTCCCCATGAAATGACCTTATAACACTTTTTCTTACTTAAAAATTTGCATGATAATAATTTCTTTCAAATTGACAGGAGTCTGATTTGATAGAAGAATGGGTAGCTACACTTTTGTTCTTAATTTTCCTTCTGTAATGCTTGAACTTAATTTAGACTATAGGAGCTACTTTGAGGTGGACTGTCAGACTATCCCCCCTCGCAACCTGAGACAACCAGCTCACAGATTGGTGCTTTTGTGGTGTCCTGACATTCGTTCATATCAGGGCACAGTTTTTCCCCCTCTCTCTTTGGGCTGGCTTCTTTCTTTGACTCAGCTGATGTAAAGTTCTGGTGGAGCGTTTTTTCTCTTTGATCAGTTCATCAGTCTCTTGTTAGTGTCTCTTTTGAATGTCTCTGAACAAATGTAGCTTTTTCAGTCCTCAGTAAATCCTGGGCATAAAGTTCATGTCACAAGTGTCCACAGCCATTTTGCTCTTTGTGTTTTTTCACACACCTTTCCATTTGTCAGTACACTCAGAGATGTCTGGTAGGTACGAGACTTCTGTCCCCCAAAGTTCATCCCTATGTCCTCTTAATTAATATATATAGAATTTAGCTTATGACTTAATAAATCTTATTATTTTTTTATCTTATTTTCCTTCATCAAATAAAGAGTGAAGCACAATCTGAAGCCAAAAAAAAAAATTATTATAAGGACATTTAACAAATAGAAAATTAAGCATATTTACATATGATAAAAATTATTGAGAATTAGAAAAAATAAGTTGTTAAACAGCAAACAAAAATAAATAAATTAATGAATTAATAAAAACAAATTGGATAAAAGGAGGGATAAATAGAGCCCCGTAGAAAAGGAAAAAGTATTCACATTTCAAACGAGAAATGAGTGAGATCAGCAAGACTATTACTTATGCTATGTTCAATAAATAGTGTTGGATATAATAGTCTGATATATACTAATCAAGTCAATAAAAGCTGTTTAAAAAAAAATACTCATTGTAAAATAACATATTTATGCCTGGCTTTCATATATGTCATAAATATATGCACAATGACCTTATTCAGATAGTCTTTAGTTCATTAAAAATAGTATTTGTTCCATTTGATAACAAAAAGACTTTAAACTACATTACCCACAATCCTTTGTCGCTGTATAGATGGGACGCGAAAGACATGGCGCTAAAAATTGTAGTTCACTGAAAGGTTTAGTTAGGGTTAAGTTTAGGGTTACGATCTTGGTTAATCGGTAACTATTTGAAACACAGCGATAACTCATTGATAAAGGACACTGTTAGTAAAGTGGCAAAGTTAGCAAAACATAGTTGGCAACACGAAGGATCTATTAATTTGGCTTTGAAGTTATAGTCCAATCACAACGTCGCAATCTACGTCACACTATGTCTCTATTTGGTAATCTTCCGGCTGAAGGTAGATTATAACCTTATAATATAACTTAAATATCAAAATGTGTATTAATATTACATGTTATTTATTGTCTTATTAAAAATACAAATGTATATTTACCGTGAGATTCCTTTATGGGGGTAACCGGATGTGCAAAATGATCATAGTAAAACCAGATCATAGGCAGTATACTAAATTTGAAACGAATAATAAAAAAATAAAAAAGCTTCATGTTTGAAAACATTTCCAGCATTTCCTGTAACTAAACCCTGCATCATGTAGGTATACAAATATAAATATATGTCAAACTTAAATGACAAATATAGTGCCCATTAAATAGTAAAAATAGTAGTTCATTGTAAATGAGTATGCAAATAAACACAATACATTTTTAATGAAACATTTATAATTTATTTATAATGCCACAAATAAAATAAATAATAAAAATCACGCAAAAATGCAAAAACCAAAAATATATATTTTATAACAGTTTTTAATGCAATAATATATTACCATACATAAATTATTAAAAACAATTATAATTGAAGGAAATGTATATTTTGTATTATTATTATTATATTTATTTTGTGATATTTATTCATGTCATACATCTGGTATGTCAAGCTCAAGTAAAACTGAACTGCAAAAAATCTTTTCAAACGATGCCTTTGGAAATGCCATTATAATAAACAGCTTGCACAACAACAAGTCAAGTTCATGACAAATGCAAATTATGTTTATAATAACAACTTTCTGAACTTAAACATCAAAAGTAGAGTAAGTTCAAAACATATTCAAGTATTTATGGAAGAATAGCAAAAACATTTTTTACAAAACACTGAGAACCAAAGTGTGCTTGGCGAGTCCAGGTGTTTATGCTGACTAGACTGTCATATTGCAATCCGGTTAGCATGAGGAGACTTGGGCGTAAAGTGTCAGGAATTCCTGGAGGGCTCCCATGTGTTATTCCAGGTTTTGCCACTGTAAAGTATTAAAAGTGCACAATATCATTACTGAACAAAGAATGAGTGTTAGGTTTCATTTAGAAAGTTCAGTGATATTTATTTATATATGTAAAGTGTCATTAAAACTGGCACTCTTGAATTAACTGTATAATAGGTTAAACATTTCCAGCATGTTTCCATGTATTCCAAGCAGATCTGTCAGTTCTACAAATTTAGAGATCAGGATAGTGACTGCACTTCTCATTATGAACACCCTTATCCTTCTCATACATTTTTATCACCACTGATGTCCACTGCTGTAGTTTTCATTGAAGGGAATGCTGACACAAATTCCAGCATGTTTTTTTTTAAATAGCAGAATATGGGTATTATTGGGCCAAAACCTTAAAAAATTAAAGATGCAAGATTTGAATCTTGATGAACATGTTAATTCACTTCTTGCAATTTAAAACACACATCTCATGTTTGACTCATCAATTATATGAAAACTACAACAGCATACTGTGCTCCACCCTAAAAATATTTCTAAAATATAACAAGCTTATTGCTTTACATGGCTAAACATTTATTGTATGCCTGCATGATTCACTGCTATTACTGTAACCCATTACACTCTTAACCCAAACTAGTTGACTTTATTAGAAAACTGCATGGAAACATGTTGCCTTAAACCCTTTATGTTTTTACACAAGGTGAAACTAAACAGCCCACTTTAAATTAACCAATAACCTTTACAATCTTCTTGAACTTACAGTAATATTTTAATTCAAGTATGGCTGTTAAGTTGCACATTGTATAAAATGTAAGGGGTTTAAGGCACTGGGTTTCTATACAATTTTCTAGTAAAGTCAACTAGATTGGGTTAAAGGAATAGTTCACTATTTACTCTCCCTCAAGTGGTTGTAAACCTTTTTTAAAAACTTCCAAGTTACTTTGTGTTAAACATGAAGGAAGTTTTTTGAAGAAAGCTGAAAAGCTGAAAACATTGACATACATAGTAGGAAAAAACAAATACTATGGAAGTCAGTGTTTGCAGGTTTTCATCTTTCTTTAAAATATAAATTTTTGTGTTTAACTGAAGAAAGGAACTCAGACATATTTGGAACAAGTGAAGGATGAGTCATTAATTCATTAATGACAGAAATTTCCTTTTTGGGTGAATCTCCTTAAGAGTATACTGAAAGAAATGTCCTACTCAATGTAGCTAACTTCAGCTGCATGTGTAGCCCCATAAGTACTTATCTAGAAATCAAAACAATGATCACATCAGTCCCATTTTAGGCCTTTTATATCATATTGGCCACAGAATGGACTACTTAGTGTTGCAATAAAAAAATAATAATAATAAAATTATGACTTACCACACAATACAAGACAAACAGTGAATTTTCAGCTCTGCCTTTGCTGTACACAAGATGAGATTCCAGGTTCAATACTGATCTTGAGTGGGGCAGTTGTGCAGCTCTGTGAGGTTGTGACTGTTCAGATGCAGTGCTGTGAAGAGTTCTTTATTAAAAGAAAGTACATTCTTTTAAAATCTGTACATAATAACAAAGAAAATACAATGATTTTAAATAATGATTAATTCTGAACAAAAACCTTACCCTTAGTCAAGATGAATTCATATGTCAAAAGTTTCTGCATCTGAAATGAATAAAAACAATGTGACATTAGTTAAACCCACTAAACTACTTGATACATCAGTACTGCATTAAGCAGTTGTAAAGTAATGTAAGTGTAGTCCAAAATGAGCCTTAATCTCTTTAAGATAATGATTTAAAAAACGTTGCTTGTGTTAAAAACAATCCAGCCACTTGTAATACATATGATCAATGGTAAATTTCTGAGAAGGTGCAAGGTAATCCTTGAGTTTTACCATTACCATCCTGACTGACATAATATTGGACAAAGAAGACAGCTTGTTGTGCCTCTTTACCACAATTTAGAGATGATAGATTCTTTCTTTTATTAAATAAATTGGTAAAGGCCAAATTATACTTGTAATAGTGTAAGATATTCATTGTGACATACATCAGCTTAAGTTATACTTGAGCTTTTGTTATGTTATATATATATATATATATATATATATATATATATATATATATATATATATGTGTGTGTGTGTGTGTGTGTGTGTGTGTGTGTGTGTGTGTGTGTGTTTTAAGAAAATAATTGTTTTTACAATGTAGCCTTTAAACCTTTGGAAACACTTGATGTTCTTTAATATTGAAACAATTACGAATACATTTGTATTATTAAAGTTGCATACTGCATATTATATATAGATTTTGCACGAATTCTATTGTGGAAAACAACAATCTGGTAACACTGTTCCTTATCTTAAAATGTATATATTGTTCTAATGCATGACCAACGTTATATGTGAGAAAAATATGTTTTTAATAAATGAACTTGATGTAGTTAGATAACGTCGCTAGTTTACAGTACATGCTTTATCAACAAATCGTCTTTATTTGTTTACTTTTTACTTACCTTGTGGAAACCCGCAGTGAACCTTGGGATCGCAATGAACCTTGGGATAGCGAGCATAGACTGTAAAAAATAGATCGCCACATTCAATGACCCCAACTTCAATAAATAAATTAAAATGAAAAAGATCAGCCGAAAACATTTTTAAACTTAGTACTTGAAATGTAATATTTTTTAAAGTAAAAAAAATAAAAAATATGAATGAATCAAAGTTTTATTAGTAGTGTAGTTTTATAGTTAACCTAAACTGGACAACCGAATATATTTTCACTCATTAAATATAAAGTAAATGATAACATATTTATAAACACCAACTAATCTCCAATAAAAATACATTATGCAGCATTAACGTAATATTTAATGTTGACAGTTGAACTCATCTGATAACTCACCGCTAATGCAGTTTGACCAATAGCAGAGCGGCGTTAAACTCACCGTGAAGGGATGTCACGTGGACCGAAGTTTATTCATACAGTAGTTTCAACCCAGTTTACAGACGCTTTTCATGAACAAAATAAAAATTACATATTTTTAAAAGAAGAAAACTGCGATAATAGGCGTAAATCAGGTTTTAAAAAGTGCGTTGACATCTATTGGTAATTATACGAGCCTCCAGCGTCTCCCTATGACGCTTCAGGCTCAGGTACAGATTCTATAGGGAATCCCTGCACGTCTAAATGTGACGCTAAAGGGGTACCCTGTGCGTCAATAACTTACGCCGAGGGTTCCTGACCAAGCGTCAGTATATGACGAGTTGGGAGTGAGAACGTGTTGCTCAAAGCACTTTTCAGAATAAAGTGAAACAGATGCATATGTGACAGAAATATAGAAGATAAATAAATGTATTCATTGTTGTTTGCTGTTTGTGTGTTTTTGTTTCTAAAGATTCCTCCATGTCAGTGATCAGGACTGTCTGCCCTGTAATCTTGCCTGCAGCTCCTCAGCCTTATCCAGCCATGTCCACCTTTTCAGTTGACTCTAGTACAGCAGTTTCAGTCTTCTCTAGTACATCAGACACAGTTTCTAGTGCTAACGGTATGTTGTAGCGAGGACATAAACAAGGATTTAAACAACAGGATATGCTGTTTGGCACCGCTAACAATTCAGCTAGAGATCTTTTTGGGTAAACTATCCCTTAAACAACCACTGCCAAAACATGAATCTGAATGAAAAACACTAAAATAAAAAGTAATAAACAATTATCAATGTAATTTCAAGTGCCAACAATATCAATATTGTTCATGTTCATTAACATTAAATAATATATTATTTAATTTTAGGAAATGTTCTTAGATGAAAGAAGGACGTTGACTTACAGGGCTCTTTTGGAGGTTTTGATGACTGCTGATAGTCTGATGAGACACTCATCTGATCTCTGGAATTTCTGAAGCTCAAACTCCTCCAGCTCCTCCTCTGAGGTCAACAACACAAAGACCAGAGCAGACCACTGGGCAGGTGAAAGGTCAGCAGATGACAGACTTCCACTACTGAGGTGAGACTGAATCTCTTTCAGCAGAGTTTGGTCGTTCAGTTCATTCAGACAGTAGAACAGATTGATGGATCTCTCTGGAGACAGATTCCCGTAAAGTTTCTGTTTGATGTAGGCAATTATTTCCTCTTTGCTCTGGTCTCTGTCATCCTGCTGTGTCAACAGGCCTCGTAAGAGTTGTCGATTAGACTGTAGTGACAGACCGAGAAGTAAACGAAGGTAAAGGTCCAGATGTCCATTCTCACTTTCCAGAGCCTTGTCCACTGCAGTCTTCAGCAAATCAATCATGCCTTTATTTCTGCTTATCTGTATAAAAAACCATCCATACTTCTTGTCATTGTCGGGAATCAGATGTTGATAAAGGGCTGCAATGAACTCCTGAATGCTCAATTGAAGAAAGCAGTACATGGTACCAAGAATGATTCCCGTCTCCTCCTTAAAGATCTGGGTACACATGCCTGAGTACACCGATGCCTTATCGACGTCAATGCCACAGTCTTTCAGATCGCTCTCATAGAAGATCACATTGTTTCTTTCCAGCTGCTGGAAGGCCAGTTTCCCCAGTGAAAGGATGAGCTTTGGATCCCAGGAGACATCTGCTGTGTTTTCTCCATCATACTTTCTTCTGCTCTGCTGGATCTGAAAGCGGAGAAAGTGTGTGTACATCTGTGTCAGAGTCTTGGGAGATTCCTGCAGTGTTTCAGCATGAGCCCTGTGTTTCAGTTTCAGTATGTTCTGGAGAACAGTGGCTGAAATCCAGCAGAAGACTGGGATGTGGCACATAATAAAGAGACTCTTTGACTGTTTAATGTGATCAATGATTTCTCTGGCCTGATTCTGATCTGTGAGTCTCTTTCTGAAGTACTCCTCCTTTTGGGCATCATTGAATCCTCGTATCTCTGTCAGCCGGTCGATACAGTCAGCAGGAATCTTACTGGCAGCTGCTGGTCTGCTGGTGATCCAGATGAGAGCAGAAGGAAGCAGATTTCCCTTGATGAGGTTCGTCAGGAGAACATCCAGAGAGACTGCTGGAGATACATCACGACACGTCTCATTACCAGCAAAGTTCAGAGGAAGACGACATTCATCCAATCCATCAAGGATGAACAGGACTTTGACTCGTGTGCTTCTTGTAAGGTTCAGTCCTTTAGTCTCTGGGAAAAACTGAGTTATGAGGTCTTTTAAACTTTGTCTTTCTTTCTCCTTTAAGTTCATCTCTCTGAATGGAAGAGGAAATATGAAGCTGATGTCTTGATTTTCTTTCCCTTCAGCCCAATCCAGAACAAACTTTTGCACAGAGACTGATTTCCCGATGCCAGCAACTCCTTTTGTCAGGACAGTTCTGATCTGCTCGTCTTGTTCAGCTGCTTCAAACAAATGTTTGCATTCAACCTGTATCTCTAGTGACTGATGACGTCTGGAAGCAGCTTCAATCTGTCTGATCTCATGTTCAGTGTTGACCTGTTCACTCGCACCCTGAGTGATGTAGAGATCTGTGTAGATGTTATTCAGAAGTGTGGAGTCTCCTTGCTGAGCAATTCCTTCAAACACACTTTGATATTTCTTCTTCAGGATACATTTAAGCTGATTAATGAAGAACAGCTCATCTAAACACAGGAGCAAAGAAACAGAGAGATTTAGTCTCGACATATTTGTATGTGTCAGTCTGACAGAGCGCCATGAGTAGGGCCAGACAGAACTTTCAGACATTTTTTTTGCTATTTCTGAGAATTTTGTAAAATATCTGCAGATTACTGTGGAAGGATTTTGGGAATATCATAACTTTGGGATTGTCATAAATAAAAACTAAATATATAAAATAATAGATAAAAATAACACCTTTTTAACTTGTAAAATAATAATTTTCAACAATATGTAATCTTTACAATGCAAATCAAATTAGATCCACTTAATTGCCAAACAAAGCACAAGTCTCTCATATAACAGATCTACTAAAGGACAGAAAATATGACTTTACAAACTGCACTGTAAATAAATCATATGAACATTTTCATATTAGGCAACAATATTACTGAAATTAAATAAAAACTGAATAAATAAAAATGCACACAAGTAAATAAATAGACTCAATGATGGGCTAAAAATCTGTTTAAATCTGCAGGTTTCGTCTTCGTCTATCCATGAGTCTCTTACCCACGAGAGTATCAGCAGCTTGATCTTGCTTCATCTCTCTCAGGAAGAAGAGTGTGAGATCAAGAGCTGCTTCTGTGATTCTGCTACTGTTCTCATTAAACTCCTTTACAAACTCTTGTCTGTTTTCTTCTTGTAAGATTTTCTTAAATTTCTCCAGTTCATTCTTCAGAAATCTGATCATTTTACTCTCAAGATTCTATGATTGAAGAAAAGAGAAAAACAACATTTAACCAAAAGATTCAATTCACACACAGTTGTTTATCCACAAAATACTCAATAAATGAAAATACTGCGACACAGCACAAACATGACAGCTAGAAGTATCCCACACCAGACGCACACATTCACATGTTATTTAAAATGAAACTATTCAGATGGTGAAACAGAAATATGAAGTGTCCTGAGTCAGAGCTAGGCACCCTAATAGAAATCTGTGTGTGGCGGTGCTACGCTGTGTGGTGCCAAGTGGCACATGCGGTGTGTGAGCCCCTTTACATATCACTACTGCTGAATGATTTCAGATATTTCACAGCTACAAAAGACAAAAATCACACCAAAACACAACACAGTCTCTGAGTAAGATGTTTAAGAGACTAGTCCAACACACTATGTAGTCCTGTTTTAACCAGGTCATCTGTGTTTATATGTCTATTACACTGATATATGGAGAAATTGACTCTGGTCTGTTGATTTATCAGAGAATAATGCACACCAGATATATGATGTCAATCTCCATAAAAAGAGCTGAAATACTCATTTTGATCATGCTGATGGGACAAACACAGATCTGAACAGTAAAGGTTATTATCATTTTTATTTGTGTACATTCATAATTACAACTAAACTATATGTTCTTGTAAAATGAGTGAAACTGACAGGGAGTCGTTTCTCTGTGTCTTCTGTCAACATGACTGGCAAACATGTCAGAGAAAACAGCTGAATCTTCAGGAGCAAACTCATTTACAGATCAAAAGCTCTTTATTTTAGAAATATGTATAAAAAGAGTGCAAAGCAGAACTCTGAGCTCATCAGCCGGCTAATCACATGACGAGTATTTTAAGAGTGTTTTGTGACCATCCTGAAATTACAGAGTGTGTTTCTATTGGGGACTAATTCATCATCTCCTCCCGTCTGCTTCTACTGTGCTGTTTGCCGTCTCCAGTCTGCATTTCAGAAATGTGTTAAATAAGACCCTCCCTCACCTCACGCCTCCAGTGCACACGGTAACGCTTAAGGGGGCGTAATATTAAAATATTCAATATGGGTGATATTTAAAAATTTTACATGGTCGTCAAAATTATTCCAATATTATCGCTAGTATTGGATGCATCACTCTGCCCTACTCATAAATAATGTAAATTCATTATAATATATCATGTAAAATATCTCATTGTTTACAACAATATTACCTCAACCATCACCATTTTAAAGCACAGTTCTGTATGGCTCAAAATAAGCTGCTGCATGAATGAATGAGATGAGGAAGAATGATGAAGATCTGCTTATGCTTTAATGTGTCCTTTCTGCAAGTGATTTACTATTACTTTCAAAAGTCAATCCCTGCAGATAATGTAATATGAAGATACGGTATGCATGTCTAGGGCAACATCTTAGAAGAAGCAGAAACATTAAATCATTCTAGAAAGACATAAAAAAAGAAAAAAAATATATTATTATTATTATTACATAAATAAATAAAAGAAAAAAAGAAAAAAAACGTTGTGATAACTAGAAAGCAGCTTTTTGTTATTTCAGTGATTTTATGACTCAAAATGAGTTTTTCCCACCTGGAAGATGGACTGGAGATTGTCTGTGAAGCTCTTGTGTCTCCTGTGAGTCTCGTCTCCTGAATCTGCTGACTCATAGTCATCACTGTAAACAGATAAAACTACTGTAATTACATATTTACAGGCAAACACATACAGATATTCAGTCATTCAATCATTTTCCTTCTGTTTAGTTCCTTATTTATCAGGAGTTGCCACAGCAGAATGAACCACCAACTATTCCAGCAAATGTTTTACACCGCGAATGCCCTTCAAACACCCATACACACTCATTCACACACACTCATACACTAATGCCAATGTAGTTGATCAATTTTCCTATAGATCATGTGTTTGGACTTGTGGGGGAAACCAGAGCACCAACCAGAGGAAATCCACGCCAACACGGGGAGAACATACAAACTCCACACACAAACACCAACTGATTCTGCCAGGACTTGAACCAGTGAGCTGCTTGCTGTGAGGCAACAGTGCTGACCACTAAGCTACTGTGCTGCCCTCAAATACAGACATATATCTTGCAAACACTGAAAATAAACAACATTCTGTAGTGCCACTGCTGCATCACATATTAAATCTAGATGAGAAATCACACACTAAACACACGTCACTATTGAGTTCAGCAACTGAAAGACTTCAGAAAGTAGCTGTAGACAGAAATATATTGATTTTACAGTTTATTATTACAAAAAACTTTTAAGTTTAGCAATAGCTATGATTATTTTTCAAATCTGTATTCAGACACATTCACTGAACAGTTTTGGCTGTAAACATCTTTTATATTCCACAAGTGAGGAAACGATGATGAAGAACTTGAATTGAAGTGAATAATCCATATATATATATATATATATATATATATATATATATATATATATATATATATATATATATATGCGCATTAAATTGACATGGAAATATAAAATGATGATTTACTGAAAATAGTCACAGGATTAGAAACTAAATCTGCCACCAGAAGTCTGTAAATGTCTTAATGAGCCACTAATGTCATTCAGGAATGGCTCTCTTTACTGGATTGTTCAAATAATATGTTCAAAATAGTTCATGTGTGAGGAATAATGTTAAACACTGAATACCTTTCAGCAGATGATGGGGTTTCCTCTCTGAAGTTTGGTGGATAATCTTGTCTTGACCGGTCACTCTTCAGAGACACAGCTGAACACACATGATCCTGATCTCACACTGAACACACAAACACACCAGAGGAAAAGGAGCGTCAAAACCTGCTGCAGTCTCTCTTATGAACACTAGAGGGCACAGTGTTTTATCTTCCTGGACTTCATTTGCCATCAGCCCTTGTGCTCCTGATTGTCTCTTTGTAACACAATTAGCTCATAGGGAATTATGAATGATTAATTATTTGCTAGTGCTATAACTTTATTCATCACTTGTATTTCCTCTTCCTGTACCAGCTGAATGTGTGTTAGATTAGTTTAAGTGTTCAGTGTAGTTAATGGATCATTACTTGTGTCACACTTCAAACTGTTCCCCTTCGGGGGGAACTCCAGCACTATTAGTGGATTTGATGTTAAAATCCACGTATGGGAGGTTCGGTTCAGAAGCTACTCGTCTGAAAGAGTATTGAATGGGCCAATTAAGAATGAATTGGCAGTGCAAGCCTGCGCAGGTGTGCGACATATGCAATCAACTGAGTATATAAGCACGCCTGGCGCCAGCAGACGCTATCCTTTTCGCTTCAGAGCCTTTTCTGATCGAGCTTATGAGGGTTCCTCCTGCTGATCTACAGCCATTTCGAGAGAACGATTGCATCCCGGTCCAGAGCGAGTCCACGCAGCGGCAGACGGTCGAGCTGGGTATCTCCCTTGCCTGGCGTCCCTTTGGGTCAAGTCCTCCAAGAGTGGTGCGTATTGTTGCAAATCCTAAAAGAGCAACACAGTCGTGCAGCACATCCTTTTCAGGATGGCGCTCCGACTGTGCGTTTCTGGTTGCGGGGGTTTCCTGGCTCCGGATGATGGACACGATCACTGCATTACATGTTTGGGGGTCCAGCATGTTAATGTGGTGCTCGGGGGCGGTTCATGTCGTCACTGCGATGCCATGACCGTTGCGCAGTTGAGATCGCGGTTAGCTTTCGTAAGAGAGCGAGCCACCCCAGTTGCCTCCTGCTCTGCAGCGGGCGCTCGGGCAGATCTGAGGGCTTCAGCGAGAGACAATCCGCCGCCCACGGGCTCGCGGACCTCTCGCTCCTCCAAGCGCTCCATCCAAGCTTCGGGTACTGGGAGTGATCCGTCTAATCAGATGGTAGCTCTCACGCTCGCTGACACCGAAGATCAGATGTCCTCCGCGGCATCGGAGGGTGGGCTTTCATTGCGATGGTGATCCGGACCCGCTCGCCCCCTCTGGGCAAGCGAGCGCCGTCAAAACGGATCCTGAAGCGGACATGTTGGCTGTGCTTTCTCGGGCTGCTTCGGCCGTCGGGTTGGAGATGGTTTATCCCCCAGCCCCGCGGCCGGGCCGACTAAATGGGTGTTACGTAGAGGATCAGAAGGCGAAGCCTTCGAAGCCTCTCGTTCTCTTCTTCCCGGAAGTGCACAGTAGGCTCACGCAGTCCTGGAGGGCACCTTTCTTTGCCCGCGCTGCGTCCGCCTCCGCCCTCACCACCCTGGACGGTGGAGCTGCCAGGGGGTATGAGGCGATCCCGCAGGTGGAGCGCGCCATTGCGGTCAATCTTTGTCCGCGTGGCGCCCCCGCTTTGCGTGGTCCGCCCCGTTTCCCGTCCAAAGCCTGTAAGTTTTCTGCCTCCCTCGGAGCTAGAGCTTACAAGGCTGCGGGCCAGGCAGCTTCCGCCTTGCATGCGATGGCCACCTACCAGCGCTACCAAGCTTGTTACACGAGCTGCGTACGGCGACCGACTATGCTCTCCGGACCACTAAGTCCGCCGCCTGTGCACTGGGGAGGACGATGTCCACACTTGTGGTCCAGGAACGCCACCTCTGGCTAAACCTGGCAGATATGCGCGATGTCGACAAAGTTCGCTTTCTTGACGCGCCCATATCCCAGGCTGGCCTGTTCGGCGACACCGTCCATGAATTCACCCAGGAGTTCAAGGCGGTGAGCGAGCAGTCGGATGCGATGGGCAAAGTCATCTATCGGCGGGGCCGTAAGCCCGCTCCATCCCCGGCCGAGCCATCCACCTCCGCTGCTCCTCGCCGAGGGCGCCCGCCAACGGCCGATGCCCTGCCCCCGCCTCCGGCGAAGCGAGCGCGTCGAGCACCCCGAAAGCCGGTAGCCCCTCATGCCCAGGGCGCCGCTAAGTCCGGTAAACGGACCGCGAAGCGTCCCTGAGACAGGCCATCCGGAGAAGAGGAGACTTGCTCTTTCCCCGCTGGAGGGCGGGGCCCAAAATCCAACGGTACTTTTCAGTGCCACCAAAGTTTCGATCAAAGAGCATTTTCTCCCTTCCCCGCATGTGACAGCTCAAGCCCTGCCAGTCTGGGACGCGCTGCCTCTCAGCTCGCAGGGCTTGCATGCTCCGCCAGCGGCTCTCGGGCACTGGGGGGACGGTCTCCCTTCTCCCAGCCCCCAAGCCCCCTCTCAGGAGTCAGGGTGCGGAGCCAGAGCAAAACGCTCTCCTCCAGCTCTTCTGTGGGACCCTCGCGCTCCCCGGATCAGCACACCTGCTCCTCGCTGCCCCTCCGCGGGTACGTCAACGATTGCTGCGATGACGTCATTAGCGAGGGCTCTGCCTGCCTGGTTAGCGCGGCCAGCCCCTCGCGGTGGCTCATACGCACGATCAGACTCGGCTACGAACTACAGTTCTCCAAACGGCCTTCCAGGTTTACGGGCGTGTATTTCACCAAGGTCAATCCCCTGTCCGCCCCTTTCTTGCGAGAGGAGATTGCTGCCCTCCTGGCGAAGGGTGCAATCGAGCCGGTACCTCCAGCCGAGATGGAGAGCGGGTTTTACAGCCTGTACTTCATCGTACCCAAAAAGAGCGGTGGGTCACGGCCAATCCTAGATCTGCGCGTTTTGAATCGCTGCCTTCACAAGCTGTCGTTCAGAATGCTTACGTAGAGGCGCATCCTCCGATGCGTTCGTCCTCAGGATTGGTTTGCAGCCATAGACCTGAAGGACGTGTATTTTCATGTCTCCATTCTTCCACGCCACCGTCAGTTTCTGCAGTTTGCGTTCGAAGGTCGAGCATGGCAGTACAAGGTCCTCCCCTTCGGGCTCTCTCTGTCTCCGCGGGTCTTCACCAAACTCGCGGAGGGTGCCCTAGCGCCTCTGCGGCTTGCGGGCATCCGCGTACTCAATTATCTTGACGACTGGCTGATTTTAGCCCACTCTCGGGAGCAATTGACTGCGCACAGAGACGAGGTGCTCCGGCATCTCCGCCTACTGGGGTTGCAGGTCAACTGGGAAAAGAGCAAACTTGCCCCGGTGCAGAGGATCTCTTTTCTCGGGATGGAGCTGGACTCGGTCACCATGGTAGCGCGCCTCTCCGGAGAGCGCGCTCGCCTGCTGCTGAACTGTCTGAGGGAGCTCGACAGCAAGTTAGTGGTCCCACTGAAATATTTTCAGAGGCTCCTGGGGCATATGGCTTCCGCTGCGGCTGTCACGCCGCTCGGATTGCTCCATATGAGACCACTTCAGCACTGGCTTCAAGATCGAGTTCCGAGACGCGCATGGCATGCGGGCACACACCGAGTCTCTGTTACTGCGCTGTGTCGCCGCACCCTCAGCCCCTGGAACGACCCCTCGTTCCTGCAGGCCGGTGTGCCTCTGGGACAGGCGTCCAGTCATGTTGTTGTTTCGACAGATGCTTCCAGCACAGGCTGGGGAGCCGTGTGTCGCGGGCATGCAACTGCGGGCCTGTGGGTAGGTGCCCAGCTGCATTGGCACATCAATCGCCTAGAGCTGTTGGCACTCCGCCGTTTTCCCCGGTGCTGGGGCAGCAACACGTGCTGGTCAGGACGGACAGTACGGCGGCGGCGGCCTATATCAACCGCATGGGGGGTATGCGCTCTCGCCGCATGTCTCAGCTCGCCCGCCATCTGCTCCTCTGGAGTCACCCGCGGCTGAAGTCGCTGCGCGCCATTCACA